GTTTCCGTACTAAAATATCAACACAGGACGCTGTTCTTACTTTAACGTCATCTATTACCAAAGCATTTGATTCGAAAGATGTGTTTAGCGATTTTTTCTATAACTAATACTAAACCTATTCTAATATATAAGCATAGCAATTCGCGGAAAACCATTAAACCTTCTAACTGATTATCTAGCAAACAGGACACAAGTAATACAAGTGGGCGAACATCGAAGCTCTACCATGGAACGCATTACTTTTGGAGTACCACAAGAAAGCCTCCTCGCACCGTCTCTTTTCATTGCCTATACATTCAGTCAAAAAAGTATCGGGAATGGATGATTTGTTTATGGTTCTGTTTTTTTTTGTTAGATTGGCACAACTGTTTTCCATTTTGGCGAGGAGTTTGAGTTGAATCTGTTATTTATATAGTGCTATTTTTAGTTATACCATATCTAGTGTGTATTGCGAATTTTATAATGGACAAAAACATCGAACAAAGAGTTTGTCTTAAATTTTGCATCGCCAATAGAATTTCGTGTTCGGAGTCACTGAAAATGTTACAGAAGGCTTACGGTGAATCGACTTTATCAAAAACACGTGCTTATCAGTGGTACAAAGCATTCAAAAGCATTCGAGATGTGGTGGAAGACTTGCCTCGCTCTGGTAGGCCATCAACAACCTCTTTTCTCAGGAGAGGCTTATGTCCAGCAGTGGACTATTAAAGGCTGTTGATGTGGTTTGAGCATTATGCGGCATTTAAGAGAGCAAATTCGACGAAAAAGGCAAGATTTGTAGAAAGAAAATTTTTGGATTTTGCACCACGATAATGCACCTTCGCACAAGGCCATCATTGTGAAAGAATTTTTGACCAAACACTCAACAAAAACCATCGAGCAACCACCATATTCACCAGATATGGCTCCTCCCACTTCTTTCTTTTTCCTAAACTCAAATTACCACTTCGTGGCACCCGTTTTCAATCGATAGAAGACATAAAGGAGAATTCACGGCGAGAACTAAACTTAATTCCGGATTGGATTTCTGAAGGAGCATACTTTGAAGGTGATAAAAAAAATATTGGATGAATTACAAACATTTTGTGTATTAATTGATCTTTTCCCGGTACTTTCTTGACAGAGTAGTATAAACGAAATGTGCAATTTGGATATCGAAAATGGTAATATTAATACATATGCAGATGACACAGTGTTATTTTTCAGGGGGAAAACTTGGGATGATGTTTAGGCAAATGCTAATAAAAGTCTAAACACAGTAGCGAAATGGCTTAACAACAAAACAAAGCTGTCGCTTAGTTAATATATTATAAAGCTTAAAATAATCAATTATATTTACTTCAGTATCAGAACCGATGGTCAACCTCCAGTTAATAAATACAATATTAAATTGCATTACTGCAATAACGATAACGTACTTACAACCAATGACCCCTGTAATTGCCCTACTATTAACCAATAATGGGAATCCAACTAGACATCATCTTAAATTTTAAAGCACATGTTAGCAGCCTAACTTTACGGATCAGAAAATTAATATTTGTATTTGAAACCCTACGCTACATATGTGACATAAATCAAATAAAATCTATTTATCTTGCGCTATGTGAGTCCATTCTGACATATTGTATTACTTGTTGGGGAGGCTTTTGTAAAACCACCCTACTAATACTAGAACTGGCACAGCGGGATGTGTTTAAAGTTATATACTTTAAGCACTGTCTATTTCCTACATCACAGCTATACGAACTGTCGGCGACTCTGACGATAAGGCAACTATTCATCTAACATACGGCCCTAAACCAACACAAACACGCATACTCTATGTCATCTCTGTGCAGTAAGCGGTACAAAGACAGGGTATATAAAACGTTATGCAGAACTATCTTCGCACAAAGATTTACCGTATTTCTCGGCCCGTTCCTATATAATAGACTCTCTCTATAATAGAAATCTACCTAAATTAACCAAATTATACTGCAAAAAGGTCATTTGTAGCTACCTAAAAACTCTAAATTATAAGGAAACTGAATCCTTACTGAGTACTTCTGGTTGCATCCTAATTAACATGTAAATTGAGCTATCATACCATCTCCACATATTTAAACACTTTGTAATTTAAGGTATTATTAGCACGAATGAAGTTACCTTTTGAGTCACGGTCTCAACTAGTTCAGAAGGTACAGATATATTGCTAAAAATGTATTAAATGTAAGCAAAGCTTAGCTTTAGACATGCATGTAATCTAGTGTAGTATTCCCTATGTATCGATTGTTTAGGCTTATAACTACAATTAAAGAATTTTGACTCTTACGACATCCACGGGATGAACAGGAGTAGTGACACTCCGTATTCTTAATACGTTTCATAATAAAATATATAAATAGCGCTTTATATGAAAGTTGTTTTGCTGTTATAGATTAGCTGTGTAGACTTTGTTAAGGAATTTAGGAATCTCTCGTGCCTTACATAAAAATGATATCTGAAAATTCTAGAATTCCAAAATCACCATCACCGAACCCTGAAACCTCTGATTCTCTCTTCTCATTTCTTTACATTTTTACCTTTGTACCGATCTCCCTACTTTCAGTTCTTTAGAAATCTTGAATCAAGAATATGCAAAAACTTATGCAAAAAAAAACATTAGTAATATTCATAATTATAATATATTTATTCTGTTCACATGACAATTATATCTCTATTTAGGAAACTGTTTCTACTAACAACATTGCAATGTTCTGGTTCGGCTATTACGTAAATTTATGGCTGGCTTCTATATGGCTTCAGTTATTTCGGTTATAATTACTTTCACTAACTGCTCTCACAGCGGTAACAAATTGAATCAATATAATTTAACTAATAATCTTATCGAATTAGGGGGGTTGTCCCAGTTTAGCTTCACGAATTTCTAATCACTGTGATGCGGTCACAACATGGGAAGAATGCGCACTATATGATTTCTATAACACAAATGTGCACTCTCCTTAATTATAGTAAATGTAGAGTGATGGCTGGATTTGCACGGTTCGTTGTCGGAAATATTTACAAAACAATATAAGCACAGGTACGCGAGAGCTTTTCAGCAGATTACAAAAGTTACCGAAGAGGCGATAATAGAGGCCGAACGAACGTTGGAATGAAAACTGTCTACGTTTTCGTTTCAAAGAGAAATCTCAATTCATTCTGCTGTTAAATGTGATGTGATAGATGATATTGGACTTTTTGTTGTAGGAGAAAGTTTCGCTTAAAATAAGTTACGTTTGCAAACTTAGGGAAAGTATTCTATCTAGGGATCGTATTTTTATTGTTAGCGTTTTAAAGTTACTCAGTCAAGACATGGTGGTATTAGAAAGTAGTTTAGATACTGATGATAATAAAGGCAATACAAAGTACTCCGACATTTATCTAAATTTTAACATTCGGCATTCTTTAATGAGTTATGAATGTGTTATTATAATGGTATTTAGCAGAGTGATGGTGTTTAATTAACAAACTTAATTGTTTGGCGCCTTTAATGCATCCACTTGTGGTCATGTTTATTTTATCATTGGAAGCCATTTTTATTGTGTCTCGTGCGGTACGTATTTTTTATAATAACGGTAGCGTCCCGACCAACAACTGTGGTAACAGATTTTTAAATGAACCAACCAATTTACGTTTTTAAACAAAAGATAAAATATATTTATTCGTATCGTGGTTTATTTTTTAATTTGTTAGTTTAATCATTATTAAGTAATAAAAAAGAAATCCAAACTCTAATTTGATGTGTGGTTAATACCTATATATGAATTTCCATAATGACAAAAGCTATGCTGCTAAATGATATCTCTAATAGCTCGGGTCACGGCATTCATAATCTTTACAGTCGTAATTTGTAATATTTTACATGGCGTTTTCAATTTTTGAATATTGTTGAAATAAAATTTGGGACAATTCGGTATTAGTGTGGCAACGATTGAGAAATGGGCGAATGGAATTGGAAAAGTTGAGGCGAGTGGCGGCTCGCAAGGATTACTATAGCCTGTTTGGCACGTTGCGATGTGTACAAAGTTTCATTGCTATCTACGTCACCACAACGTCTGTTTCCCCGGAAATTGCATATTTTCTTTTCGAAAACTACCATTGAAATGTGTTAACTTTCCACCAAGAATGGTGACTCATCCTGACCTGATCTCAAGGCTTAGGTATTGTTGTATTTCTCTTACTTTACAAAAATACAACACTTGTACTTATATATTATTCTATTTATTATTATTATTTCTAAATACCTTCAGAGTATTCATTCTTCTTTTTATTTTGTTATATTTTATATATTAGTGCGTTGTACATCTTACTTTAAATATTGAAAACACTACAACTCCATCAAAAAAAAAGAAACACAAAATTAAAATGTATTTATTTAGTTCGTAAATATTACTACTACTGGCTCCTGTAATAGTGTTCGCTAATGCTGTAGCTGATAAACAAACAAAAAAATCGTTGATGAACAGAAAAACTGTTAAGCATCTTTTCCCCTGTGTAAATAAAAAAGTGAAATGAACAAAGTAAACTGCTTCTAATGTTTTTAATTGTTAATTTGCTGCGTGGAGCATTACAAAAAGATTTTTTCTATTAAATGTCGAAATTAGAAACAGACGAGAGAAATATAGTTAATTCTTTGTAGTAGATTAGATAGATAAAATGAGACTACCACAGCTAAGTCTTAAGTGATTCTCGTCTATGCAGCGCTACTCCACCGTGAGGTCGAGGCGGCTGTAGTCGATGCCAATTTAACATACACATCGCAACATATAATCCACTTTAATAGATCACTTACACACATAGAAATGAAACACAAAGAATGTATGCAAAAGTTTTCTGTCTGGCAAAACAGAAATAAATATGAAGAAATAATTAATTATAATCTGTTCTGAAATTAATTGAGGTGGACCCGGATGCGCATTGTGCAACAAAGCGACGTAAATTACATACACGAAATTTATTCTACAGTTTCTACATGTTTATTTCTTCATGTTGCTCATAACTGCAAAAGCTTTGTATGCCCAGTTGATAAGCTGAAAGAAAAATATAACGATTAATATTTACCTGGTTTAAATCCCATTGGACGGTTGATTTGACATATATGTTATACATTTAGTGTTAATACATTTAGGATACTTATTTATGTTTCCGTATGCATTTATATTTATGGTAAAAGTCTAATTGGATTATTAAATGTAAAAATAACAAATATGTATTAATATTTGTTATTTGTACATTTAATCCGAACGTTATTTGTATTTTTAGTTCTAAGTTTTTATTTTGAACTTAAAATATCTGTAAGTATTATATGTATGTTTTTCCAGATTTCCATCTTTTATTTAAACTAGCGATCCGCCCCGGCTTCGCTCGGGTGCAATGTAGATAATACTACTTATAGTTAAGTCAGTGTGGAGTAATTTATTATACTAATATTATGATAGGACTACACTACAGAACATCTTTAAATGCAATATTTATAGGCTCGCTCCGATCGTGCCGTCCGCTGCCACCGGGGACGGACGTACCGCTCGACGGTCGTTTAGGCCCCCGCATTTTAAACCTATAACATCTTCTAAAATATTCATTTTAATAATATGCTGTGAAATTTAATACAACGTATTTTAATAGAAAAGGAATAATAATGTATTGTTTTAAATAGCTTCGTAAATAACCCATTATTTTTTTGTAATATTTAAAAGATAAAAATGGTTACTGTGAGTTATCCTTGTAAGTATTTTTAAGATATACAATTCCGTAGTACATTATTTTAGTCTATCTCTAAAGTTTAGCCAGCGAAGGTTTAACATGTTTTTTGCAACAAATCCTTGAACTTCTCGGATTTTCTCTACTATACGAGGGGTGATCAATAAGTAATGATAATCAATATGAAACAGAACTATTAGATTAAAAAAAGTATTTTATTTTTCAACATAGTCTCCTTGCAAGTTAATACATTTAGTGTATCTTTTTTCTAAGCCCATGATTCCCTTAGAAAAAAATTCTTTGTCTTGACCCTCCCAAAATGCCTCTACTGCGGCAATCACTTCACTATTGTCCTCAAATTTGTTGCCCCGGAGGTGTTCTTTGAGCCGAGGAAAGAGGTAGAAGTCACTGGGAGCTAGATCTGGCGAATAGGGAGGGTGTTCGAGCAGTTCGAACCCCGTTTCTTCAATGGCAGCCATCGCAACTGCGGCTTTGTGAGCCGGGGCGTTGTCTTGGTGAAACAGCACTCCAGCGCGCAGTTTACCGCGTCTTTTTGACTTAATAGCTTCTCGCAATCTTCTTATTTGGCCTGCGTAGTAAGAGCCTGTTATAGTGGCCCCCTTTTCCAAATATTCCACCATAATAATTCCTTCTGCATCCCAGAAAACAGACGCCATAACCTTTCCCGCTGAACTTGACACTTTGAATTTCTTCGGCGTTGGTGAGGAAGCTCGTTTCCAAGTCATTGATTGTTGTTTGGTTTCGGGATCAAAGTGGTGGATCCAGGTCTCGTCCATGGTCACAAAACGCGACAAAAAAAATTATTTATCGGCCTGGAACTTTTGAAGATTCACCCTCGAAATGTCGACTCGTTTCTTTTTTTGCTCGTCGGTTAACATTCTCGGTACCCAACGCGCAGAGACCTTTTTCATATGCATTTTGTTGACAATGATTTTTTGAACGCTGCCATAGGAGATCCCTGTGACCTCAGCTACATGCCTTACGGTCACCCTTCGATCGGCCAACACGATATCTTCCACTTTTTTGACGTTTTCTCCAGTAAGGGACGTGGAAGGGCGTCCCTCGCGATGTTCATCTTCAGTGGAGGTTCTGCCCAGCTTAAATTTCTTTGCCCAGCGTGCGACTGTGGAATATGGAGGAGCAGACTCCCCCAATGTTTCCTCTAAGTCGCTGTGTATGTCTTTGGTAGACATTTTTTTCAGGCAGAGGTACTTGATGACAGCTCTTATTTCATTTTTCTCCATTTTGATGTTTTCTCTTCCACAGTTCGTATTCAAATGAATGTATCTCCCGGTAATGGTGTCCTATTTATACATTTTTTTGAAGCTGAAGTAGTGGATATATAAGCAAGCAGAAAAAAAATAATTTGGGTTTTTGTGCGTTCTAGAAATACTCGATTATCATTACTTATTGATCACCCCTCGTAATATAACCTTCCTTTTGAATAAACTATAATAAACCTTCCTTTTGAATCACTCTTTCTATTGGAGAAAATCCCATTGAAATTCGTTGCTTAGTTTAAAAGATCTAAGCGTACAACACAAAAAAGCGAATTTATTTTATACTATGTCAAGATTGAAATTATTAACATAGAGCTTCAGCGTTGTATCCTGTGATATACACCTATGAAATCCAATATGTAATTGGCACCACACAATCACAACGCCTGGCGAAAATCCGCACCAGACAGTTTCTCGTTGTGGGTGCATTTATTTCTCATGGATTGCATGAGGATTTTCTGAGCTCCTAATTCGACACTTTTGTGTATTCACGTAGCCATTCAGATGGAAATACGCTTCATCGGAGAAGATGACTTTTTTCGAAAAATTGACATCGACTTCACTTTGCTCCATTACCCATTGAACGAATTGCCGGCGCTTTCCATGGACTGCTGGTTTGAGTTAGCTGAATCTTGTACGCATGAAGGTGGAGCTCTTTTGTCAACATTCGCTGCGTAGTGCTTCGTGAAATTGGAAGCTGTTGAGAACGATGGTTAATTGATGTTTTCGGGTTTTCGGCGACATTCTCGTTTACAGAAGCAATGTTTTCAAGAGACCGGTACGGTCGGTCTCTTGAAAACATTGCTTGTGTTGACGCAAAGGATTCTTAATATCCGTAATCGACCCAGTTTCTTCAATTTTTTTTAGTTGACACATTAGGTGCACTTTCTCGACTAAAAATTTGGCGAAGTTTGCGAGCGGTTTCAGCCTTTCCCCATTTTTGTAATGAGTTTTCACAATTGTAACGCGTTGTTCTTTCGAAAATCGTACCATTTTCAATAATCTAAAAATCTAAAAAAAATATTTAAAACGTGCACTCTTATTGAGACACCTTTATTAGCACAAATTAATTTTGATTTTTAAATAAATATATTTATTTATAACAGTGTTCTATTAAAAAAAATGGGAAATAAAAACAACACTTGCAACCACAACAGTTCATGCTATAGCAAGCGATTACTTGCTTTGACATGTTTTTTTCAATTATTTTTTTGTAAGTGTATTATTATAACTATTCGCTATGTTATTTTTTATTTATTTTGCATTTATGTACATCGGCGACCTTAATGCCCTGGGCATTCTCTACCAGCAAACCTTTTGGGTGATGTAGAAATCTTGTAAGGTGTCTTAATAACAGCTGTCTGATTGCTTCCATTACAGGCACAGAGTGGCACACGGTGTGGTTTTAGTCAGTCTGATTCCGACACATAACCCTCCCGCCCTAAACCCCGGTGTGGTGACGGCCCGAGGGGTTTCCCATAGGTAGGAAAAGATACAAATTCTCTATGTTCCTACACTGTGAATATAAGGAGGTGTACTCTTGGTTCATTGGTACATTCTTTTTGAATGCGAAACGGTTTGTGGACATCCTGATTTCTAGTGGTAGAGCATTCCAGAGCAGTACAATTGCTCAAAAAAAGGGGGGTTCACGAAGCAGGAGTTGTGGGAGGGACACAAGAGAAGCAAATAATTTGTTGAGCGAAGATTTCAGGACAGGACAGGAAACTGTTTACAAATTTGTTTTTAGTTCACTAATAAGATCATCTTTTTAGTTTTACTAATAAGATTTAAAGAGGAGATCAGATTGTCAAATTAACAAATAAGACTATGCTGTATCCTCTTTTTACAGACGTACATGTGTTAAAGACGGCCTTGTACCCATGATATAATCGTATAAATATGTATTAGCTAGACATACTCGTAAAATACGTTTTTAATCAATTGCCACAAATTACAACTTATCACAGATAAATAAACATTTAATAAGACGATTGAAAAACAGTAATTTGTGGGGATGTGGCGGCAAAACTAAACTGACACCTGTATCGCTAACTGAAAAGAAAGGGATTGTCTTAAAACATTAGGCTATTCAAGTCGATACCAAGATATTCTAATACTTTGAGATTAAATAGTATTAAAGCCGAGAGGCATAACTGAAAACACCTGACCTAATGCCGAAGGGCCTTCTAACAGTGTTATTGAATGGGGTGTGAGCCGTCGCAGTGGAAGCCCACCAGAGGCTTGTTGTCGTTGTGATCATTAAAAAAACCTTTATTTTTGTCTAAATGTTTAACTATTGAATATTAATTATCGGCTGAGATTTTGTAATCTGTATTTTGGTAATATTGATATTGGTACTACAATGTGACGTAATATGCAGAAACTTTAAGTTTGTCAAAAATATTCTACCTAATATCGGTACGTGATAAATTTTAAATAAAATCTTTTAAATTTTTGAAATAAATTTGAAAATTAGTTAAAAAGACCTCTGTAACGCCTTAATATACATATAGATGATATGTAAAATGCTGCCAACTGCCAAGGCTGCTCAACGAATGCAATAACATTCTAAAGACTACCTACTAGGGACCGAAAATAAAATTTTCTTACTATTGTATAGGTGTCGAGTGATAGTGTAAATATTTTTCCCGCTCTCACACACAGAGGACGTTTGCACCTCTCCATAAATAAAATGATATAGATGTTGGTCTTGCGGTCGCTAGTTGTCCAAGGTCCGTCGAACGCCGCTTGGCGAAGATCAATGCTCTGAAATACGATGTTAAATACTTGATAGATATTGAATTGGTAATTCAGGTTCTCCGAAGTGCATTAGTCTTATATACCTATCATTGACATATTTACAATACATACATACATATCCTCACCCCATAAAAAAAAACCTGACTGCATTTAAAATAATAATAAATGTGTAAGGTGTATTTGTTTTTGTTGTTATCTTTGAAATCTCAATATCCCCTACTTAGTGGGTTTGGAAAAAAACCGAACATCACAATGTGATGACTACCTTAAGCAATTTAAAAAAAAGGAGCTTCGCTAGTAGCACGTTATTACTTTTGACTGGACTATTTTATTAAATTAATTTATTTTTTGAAATAGTTATTAAATTCTGCGGCTTTGGATTTTAAATCAGTTTTGACATCGCTGCCTCTTCGGATAGTACTCGTGAAAATATCTTCCCTAGGTTCCTTTGTTTTTTACTATATAAATAAACTAAACATAAAATAATAGTATGTACTATTGTAAGTGTTAAACTCGTTTTCTTTATGGTATTTTTATAAATTTCATATTCACTACTCGTCGACAAAAATACTTCTTAATACAACGTTCATTATAATACTAGTGAATCAATAGGACATACTGAATTGTAAACGTTTTACACATCCAAAATATTAAAAAGAACATGAACCTTCCATATCAGTTCGTTCCCGAACCAGCACAGTATGAACACTTCGATCAGCATGCAGGTTATTACTTTTGACTGGACTATTTTATTAAATTAATTTGTTTTTTGAAATAGTTATTAAATTCTGCGACTTTGGATTTTAAATCAGTTTTGACATCGCTGCCTCTTCGGATAGTACTCGTGAAAATATCTTCCCTAGGTTCCTTTGTTTTTTACTATATAAATAAACTAAACATAAAATAATAGTATGTACTATTGTAAGTGTTAAACTCGTTTTCTTTATGGTATTTTTATAAATTTCATATTCACTACTGGTCGACAAAAATACTTCTTAATACAACGTTCATTATAATACTAGTGAATCAATAGGACATACTGAATTGTAAATGTTTTACACATCCAAAATATTAAAAAGAACATGAACCTTCCATATCAGTTCGTTCCCGAACCAGCACAGTATGAACACTTCGATCAGCATGCAGGTTAGATAAATACCCATCCACGCCATCTGCATCGGATGGCTGGCTGGGTTTTCAATCTATAACAAAATCACTTTTCATTCGCATTCACAGTTATCACACGTTGCAGTTTATTGAACTATGAGAGTCTGTTATTCGTGAACAGCCTATGGAAATTCAATAGAATGTTTTAAAGCGGAATAAACAACGTATCCTATACACAATATTTATAATGGTACTAATATATATATATATATATATATATATATATACACGGATGTTAATACAATCGATAGGTAGATATTACATACCTTTCAATTGCATGACACAGTGTAAATAATGTTACCGTTTTCCTTTACAAAATGCTAATGGTTCACTGTTTTATAAACTAATATTATAATAAAAACACATACACAGACACACAGTCTAGCACCCGATGGCTACGTAGGAGGATACGTAGGTCACTATAAAAGTTTTGAGACACACAAAAAGTGAACAATATATACTTACAATTTATATTATATTTTTTCAAAATGCTCCCCATCACTCTCTATACAAATTTCCATCCGCCTAACCCAGTCTTTTAAATACTTGTTCCAGTCTTCCTCCGACAGGTCATAAGGCCTGAATCATAGGCACTAACTTCTTCGGCACTTAAAAAAAACTTGCCTTTTATCATTTTTTTTATGGTGATTAATAAAAAAAAGGCTCAAGGAGCTAAGTCGAGTCTGTAAGGTCGATGAGGTAGGGTTTAAATCCCCGGTTCTTGAATAAACGTCTTTATTCTGAGGTTACTCCTGGAAAGCTTTGAAAACTTCTGGCAATAAGACTGTAATGTACCGTTATGTAGTAAACCTCCTTTCTGAGGAAATGCTTATGTCCAGCAGTGGACTATTAAAGGCTGTTGAGGTGATGATGTACCATTCTGAGTTAACATACTTATAATTCTCTATCATTGATTTTGCGACATGTCTAGTTCGTGAAAAAAAAACTGCCCATCATATATTTTTTTCGATGTGCCGCAGTCATTGCTTGCTTTCCGGATCATATTGATATATCCATGTTGCGTCTCCAGTAATGATTTTAGAAACAGGTCTTTACCTCCTATTTTCAATACGTAGATGCATCTCACATACCATTCCACACGAGTCTCTTATTTCGATGAGCAAACAAGGTATCCAACGGCTACAAAGCTGCCTCATTCCAAGATGTTCATGTAGTATGGTGTGAACACTAACCGAACTGATGCTTAAGATTCTTTGTATGTAATTCTTGGGTTACCTCGCACAAGCATTTCAGTAGTACACACATTTTCAGCAGTGACTGCTGTTGGCGGGCGTCCACTTCTGTCATCATCTTCAAGGCTAGTTCCCCCTTCTAAACTCGTTAAAGTTAAGCCATCTAAAAATGGTTGAGCGACTGAGGAGCAGACTCATCTAAAGCTGATTTATACGTAGTAAGCTTACACCATCAGATAAACCATATTTAAAGTCGTAATATATCATAACACCTGAATGTTCACGCACCCAACTGATGACGGTATAATACTTAAAATTTTTGATTTTTTTTATTGCTCTTAATGTCCTTTTGTGTTCGATTGCCAAATAAATTTGATTCTAAATAACATATGACATACACGCGTTCGAAATTACGAGCATCTCAAAACTTATATAGTGACCTATGTACTTCACTTTTTCATGAAAGGCCTCTATTGAGTCCGAAACCCAGCTACTAGGACATTTTTTTAATTCTCTAATGGTCAAACGAACGGATCAACTGGCATTAAGTGATTAACGCCGACCTGTACCTGGATACCTGTTCTGTAAGGTACATATATATATATATATACAATATACAACTTTATATTCATAGATGTTAAGTTACCTGCGTTCGTTTTTTAAAACAAATTGACTATCTTGTATCAACTGTTACCAAACGTACCGATAGAAATTGAACGCCGATCAAACACAACACCATGACGCTTAACATGAACTGTAGGGCTGACGCCAAACTGAAAGCGCTCTCGATCATCGACACGTATCTGAAAATTCAATTGTTGATACATGATATTTTATTACAAAGTGTGAATGTGAAGTCCTTATAGTGCATCAATAGTCTTTTGTAGCGTGACTAGAATGGAACTACATGTTTAAATATTGCTTTCAAAAATACATGGCCATTTCTCTTTGTAACCTGTATGCTTTTCTTGAGCAGTAGATATGTCTCTTGCTTCAGAAAAACGCATTGCCATGTTGCTCAAATGAGCTTATAACACTCTCTTTACATATAAAATTTTAGCGTAAGAATAAAAAAAAAATTCTTTAACTGCAAACTGCCGAACTACACAGTGGAAAATGGAACTTTAAATAGAAGAGTGTAAAGAAGTAAGTTTAAGATAACAATGGCTATGAGAAATTATATTAATGGAATTATATAATTATAAAAAAACGTTTGCTGCTATTTATTCTTTTTTTATGTTAAGCACCTATCGTTCATAATTCTTACACATTTTTTACCTTTACCTATTCAATGTTGAATATATATTTTTGATTAAGAAAATAAAAATCAGTTTCTAAACCAGTACCCAAACGGCAGATTGTCTCGAAGATAAAAGGGAGGTACTTATGTTTTACATAGGAAGTGCACACACTACAAACTTTGAGATGTGGACACACTGCCATTCAGAGTTTCAATACAGGTTTTTTTACATCTCTCTTCCATTAGTAGTTTATGTATCCTAGAGAATTATTATTAAAAATGAAAAATTAAATCTACTAAATACACGTATTATGTACTTTTTGTACGCATTACATTGTGTTTAGCATATAATTCATTTTAGAATACTCAAATCTTTACATGAAATCAATTCAAAAAGACTGCTGTGGAAAACAGGGATAAGGAGGCGTATAATTGTTAAGGGTTTCATAGAAGGTCGGGCTTTTGTTAATAAGTGAAAACCGTTTTATTTGAACAACAATAGTTACCTACCGACCATGAAATGTGTTGGATTGGTTTTGAATCAGAGCCGGGTGTTGATAAACAATCAACAAAATAGTAACAGTAATATGCAAGATCTTAACAAATAATGAGGACAAACTGTAAAAGTATTAGATTGGTATGACATTTTATAATTTAAATTGTCAACGATTTGATGCGCGCGAATTGTCAGCGCGGGGGACATGGGGTTCCCACACGGGGGGGGGGGGGGGTCGTCTGCTCGTCTGTGGATGGCTCGAGGTATGTCGGGGTACCAGGGACTTCCTTTCCGGTATACCTGGTTCCCCGGCTATTAGTGCCCGAGACGGCGTGCGGTTTTGGTCGGTTCGAGTCCGAACATCTCGGCCGTTTAAGCGATGCTCAATTAGTTAGATATTTATTTAACTTTCCAACGTAAGTTTTTACTGCATCACTAAGAGAATAACACAGTTAATTGTTGACGCGACATCTAGAGTGCTGTTTTATGGTGGTCTTGTGTTAATTAATTTCCGTTCTTTAAAGTGGTTGCGCCATAACTATTTAAAAAATCATAGTTTACAGTATGAATTTTAAAGTCAATTAAAATGGGTAATTAAAAATATCTTGTATACACTTAATTATTTCAATGGGTTACTCAAACTAGAAAATTGGTTAGTGCCATTATTTAGTTAGGATGGAGTTTTTGAGGCTAAGTAAACAGAGCGATATTCTATTTATAGAGTCATTTCGGCGATGGATAAGTGATCCCCTTTATCATTTCCAATGCCAATAGTACCACTAATGAAATACCATTAGCAGATCAGGGTCATTATTAGGGCCGGGCAACATCATCTAACATCATCAATGAATTTATAATCATTACATAATGCTTTGGCTACATTTTTGAAGCTCATCAATAGAACAATTTTTCGTTAGAAAATCGTTTCTATTTTTTTTTAACCTTAACTGAAAATGCAATGAAGGAAAGAAATACAAAGAAACTATTATTACGAAGAAATAATATTACTGATATTATGCCCATACAAAACACTCACTTTCTCAGATTCCCTCGTTTTTTAGATAAAAAATTAAAATTTTACCTCGTGCTGAGATGTCTAGAATGTTTAAATGCATGAACGGAACAACTGTCGCGATTTGACCACTACTACTGTGCCAAGATGGCGCATGACAATGGACAATATTAATAAGAACAAAAGTTATATTGGCTTTGACCTGACCCCGCTCATGCTGAGACTAGCCTTTGCCCCTTTGTATAATATTTTCATAGGTAGTTTTTTTGTTACTACAGCTGGTAGATAACTGGACCTGCCCAGACCTACATTACGCCCTCTGATATTTAATGAATAAAATATATACCGGCCACTAACACATTTATATAGCATGAAAAAAATATGACCATGGTGCTAATTAAAATAATTCTAAGCGTAACTTCATTGTTTCATAGTTACATTTGTGTATGTTTAAATAACATAAAACAAATGTAAGCATCGGTTGCTTTTTAATTTTCTTTCATACTTACTTACAACTTATGCACTTTTGAACATCAGCGGATTAAGTCCGCTGATGTTCAAAAGTGCATTGGGCATTGGGCATTATCTACCAGCAAACCTTGTATTTATTACACACATTTAACGTGACAGTTTGTAACAAAATATTGTCCTTTTATAATTTTAGTTTGGAGAATGCATAGTCGAAATAACTTTTACCATTTTTATACTCGTACATCGGGCGGGGTTGGGTGTGCTCCAATAGGCCAAGATCGCCTGGAGCAGATCCAATCCTGGTACGCCCTCCTGTCCGGAGGGCGTGCACGGCGAATGGTCATGGGGGAGAGCGCAACAGTCGTGTAGATCCCCATGGCAAGTCTGGGTGTCATCCTTCCCGTGGTTGCCGCCTGTTTTAGGTCTGATTCCCTACGAAACAGATATAACAGAAACACCCAGACGCAATTCCATCCCACAAAACCTATCCTTTCCCATTTCCTATCCCATCCACACCTACTGCGGACACTAAGTGGTTGGTGCCTGCGGCCTCACTATCAACAAAGACTGAGAGTGAGGGGGAGGGGGGGCAACCACCCGCATGTTTGTGCCGTGTGCGGGGACCCGTAAGGGAGGATGAAGGGATCCTGGTAGTTGAGCTGAAAGGCAACACACTGCTTCGGCCTGGATTTCTCTTTACACGGGAGGCTGAAGGCTAGCCACCTTTGGTCAATCGGCTGTAGTATCCCGTCAGAGGGCTGCTGGGCGAGAGCTCTTCCTTGGTGGGGGTGGACGACGGGTGGGACGACCAAGTCTTCCTACCTAGCTCGGCCTGCCTTCTGCCAGGGAGGGAGCTCTATATTTCCTTGTTACTTCTGGCGTCGTGTGCCTTCTGCCGCGGCGTCCCCACTTGAGGGCTCCAAGGAGGGTGGAAGGACAAGGAGATGAATAGTATACCAAACACATCATGGATACTAAAAACACTCGTACAAAAAAAACCACCAAGCCGGCACCGAGGGTGAACAACCCAAGTGCCAGGCTAAACCACCAACCGGCTGACCCCAGGGTGAACAACCCAAGGGTGAATCCGGCAAACACACCTTCGGCTGCTGCTCAGGCAAACAACCCGACCGCAGCGCCATCCACGACTCTGGCGACACCTCTGGTGTCTAACCAGAATACGGAGCCAGTGTCGACCATCGACCTCTCCTCTTTGAGGGCAGCAATGCCCGTACCTGCGGGACCCGGCCTGGAAGAAACCGGCTGGAGCCTGGTAAGGACAAAGAAGAGAGCGTCGAAAAAACCGAACCCGTCCAAGAAGACCCGTAACGCCAACAGGGCGAAAGCCCGAGTGGAAAGGCAAGCACGGTGTCTGACCTCGGGTGGAAGTAAGCGGCTTGAAGTCGCTGAAGGGCCCGAAGGGGCCCACGTTGCCCCCGCCAGTGATGTGCTGCCCCGAGGCGAAGACGAAAGTCAAGCCATGGGGAAGTGTACTCCTGTGGGGGCGCCACCTGCCAAGACGCCTGTAGCGGCCAAAGTACCCTCTAGGCAGGGTCAACCTGGATAGGGTAAACGGGCGAGACGAGCGACACGTGGAGGGAAACCTTCGAGTGAAACAAAGCCCGTCAAAAGAACTCGCCCGGACGAGTCTCGCACTCCCCAGGGCAGTGGCAAGCGATTCAAACCGCTGCCAAAGACCGGCTCCACGAGTTACTCCGACGCACTAAAGGCGAATGACCTTTGCGTCGCGGTCATGCTGGAGCCTTACCACGACCTCACCAAGGCACAGGCAGAGGACATCGAGGGCCAGCTGCAGGGCGTGCTAGATGAGGAGATCTTCTCGCCCGGCACGTCAAGCGCACCCTGGTAAGGATCCCATCACCACGTGAAGGCACCAAACTGGTCGTCAGGAGGCAGTCTGAGATCCCGAGAAGGATCAAGGCTGGACTCCTGGTACCACAAATCGGACCAGATGATACACTGGTCCGTATACAAACGAGGCTAAAGTATCAGAATAGCCAATACAATGTGGCCAACTGGGCCCTCTACCATGCCGAGGCGCAGGAGGAAAAGAAATGTCTCTTCCTAGTGCTCGGCATCCCAGAAGAGGACGTCGTGAAGCTCAAGGCTAGCGAGCGTAGAGTATACTACAAACTGGGTAACCTCTACGTTCGCTTCCTCGATGAACGTCCCGCCCCACCAACTAACCCAGACGAGGAGCCAGAATCGGCCCCACAACACCGTAAGGACGGCAATGGAGGGGATCCTCTGATGCCCGTTGAGGAGACAGCCTGCCGGGGTCCACCTCCTGAGGAGTTGGAGGACCTACCGGTGGGCGAGAGTGACCTCGACGACATAGAGGACATGCTGAACAGCGATGATGGCGCTGCCTGCACCCCCCCATAACACCCTTATAGCCATCCAAACCAACCTCCAGCACAGCCATACAGCAACGGCTAACCTACGCAGAGAGCTGGAGGTAAAAACCAACACCGTAGCCCTAATCCAGGAGCCGTGGATTAGGAAGGGCAGGATCTGCGGTCTAAACAATATTGGAGGTAAGATACTTCTCAACACTACCATTGATAACCCGCGCACTTGTATTTATACACCAAAACATGCGTGTACTACCTTAATGACCGAGTTCTGTTCCAGAGACCTTACCTCTATTAGGTTAAAGGAACCCTCATCAAACCTGCCTGACGTGGTGATAGCATCAGCCTACTTGCCGGGCGATGCTGACATCCCCACTCCGGAGCTGGCTGCGCTGGCACACCACTGCGAGCGCGAGGGTCTGGAGCTGATCATCTCTGCCGACACCAACGCGCACCATGCGCTGTGGGGCAGCAGGAGCAACAACCGGAGAGGTGAGGAATTTGTATCGTTCCTATTATCAACTAACCTTAACATTATCAACGTGGGCTCGGAGCCGACATTTGTCACATCCAGGGCCCAAACCATAATTGATCTTACTTTAGCAAGTGAGCACGCATCGCAACACATATCGAACTGGCATGTTTCGAACGAAGCATCGTGCTCAGACCATCGCTGGATCAAATTTATCTTTGAAATGAAACTTAAACTACCCGATCCCCGACGGAATCCCCGCACTATGGACCGGAAACGGTATGAACATCTTACTGCGGAGAATCTGCGAAGCATCAACCCAACATACGCTACGGGGACTGTTAAGGACATTGACAGTCATGTTGTCAACCTTACACAGACACTGATCGATAGCTTTGAACAAACATGCCCACTTTCCACACCCAGAACTGGACCACAGAACAAACACCAATGGTGGGGTCCGGAACTGGAAAGACTACGTCGTAAAGTGAGAAAGTTGTTCAATAAAGCAAAAAACTCGCGATTAGACCAACATTGGGATGCCTACACGCAGGCCCGACAACAATATAAGAAGAGAATCAGAACCAGGAAAACTGAGTGCTGGAGAAACTTCTGTACTAACATAGAAAACAACAACCAGGCTAATAGAGTCAAAAGCATACTGTGTAGTAGAGGCGATCACAATCTTGGCTCACTGAAGAAGCCTGATGGTGAGTATACCAAAACAGACTCGGAAGCCTCAGAGCTGTTATTAAAAACACACTTCCCTGGATGTCGCATTTCAGATGTGATGGAAAAATGGGAAGACAGATGGGAAAAACCACCAGATGATACAGACTGGGATACGGCCCGCAAAGTTGTCAATCATGACAAACTAAGATGGGCAATTAACAGCTTCCTACCATTCAAGGCGCCAGGACTAGATGGTGTCTTCCCAGGCCTACTGAGATGGTGTGATATGACACTACTGGACCATCTTGTAAAAATTTATAGGGGCTGCCTGGCGCATCAGTACATCCCCTTGAAATGGAGAGAAGTCAAAGTAGTCTTCATCCCCAAACCTGGTAAAGGTGACTACACACAACCCAAATCACACCGACCTATTAGTCTCACATCTTTTCTACTAAAGGTTCTCGAGAGGCTAATAGATAGGGAAATCAGGGAAACTGCGTTAGTCAGTCACCCTCTACACCTCAATCAACACGCATACTCGATGGGTAAATCAACAGAATCTGCCCTACATCGAGTTGTTTCATATATAGAAGACAATCTAAATCACAAAAGGTCAACACTGGCTACCTTTATCGATATCGAGGGAGCCTTTGACAAGACCAACTTCACCAGCATTAGCCAAGCTCTGTCTAGGCATGGTGTTGATTCCACAATCTCAGGGTGGATCGATAGCATGCTAAGATATAGAGCTATTCAATTCACTGTGAGCGAAGTGACTAGAGGAGTGGTGGCTAGAGGTTGCCCCCAGGGCGGTGTACTCTCCCCTCTTCTATGGAACATTGTTGTGGATGAGCTCATCGCACAACTTAATGACCAAAGATTCCTCACAATAGGCTATGCAGACGATCTTACTATTCTTATCAGCGGTCCTTTTGAGAGCATTACATGCGATCAAATGAGACTTGCACTGAAGATCGTGGAACAATGGTGCGTAGCACACAACCTGACAGTGAACCCATCCAAAACAGAGATGATCATGTTCACAAACAAACGCAGCCTAGGAAATCTCAGACTTCCTAAGCTATTTGGAACACAACTTACTCTTACCAAAGAGGTCAAATACCTAGGAGTAATACTGGACAGTAAACTCCTGTGGAATATGCACCTCGATGAAAAACTGAATAAAGCCTGCATTATTTTCTGCCAATGCAAGCGGCTACTCGGCAAAAGCTGGGGACTATCACCCAAAATCACTTTATGGCTATACAGGACAGTCATAAGACCAATAATCACTTACGGTGCTGTTGTCTGGTGGCAGAGAACAGAGCTTAGCACCGTCATAAACAAACTGCAGCAATTCCAGCGACTTCCATGTTCCGCGGTCACTGGCTGTATGCGCACAACGCCTACTGCCGCACTGGAGGTGGCTCTTGGTCTGCCACCCCTGGATCTATTCATACAGCAGGAGGCCGCCATGGCGATCATTAGACTCAAACACCTGGGTCTATGGCACAAAAGTGAGGGATCGCACTCCAAATTATGGGATCAATTGGTGGAATACGAACCACTGATAGCAGCTCCATGCGATAGAATCCCAAAACACCATATCTTCACAAGAAGATACTACATCCAGATACATGGAAATGACCGAGATCAATCCGGCATTAACGAAGTCCGAATTTACACGGACGGTTCCAAGACTAGGTCAGGAACTGGAGCCGGAGTTTTCTCGCAAGACCTAAATATAAACATATCACTAGCGTTAGGCCAACACAGTTCCATATTTCAATGTGAATGTGTGGCAATAACTTACGCTGCCACAACGGCCATGTCAAGGGGTATCAAGGACTACAACATCCGAATAATATCCGACAGCATGGCCGTCTTAAAGGCACTGGAGGGCAACACAATGACCTCTGGTATTGTCTTCGAATGCCACCAAGCACTGGAACAGCTCGCTATATTCAATGGGGTACTCCTCCAATGGATTAAAGGGCACAGTAACTCACACGGGAACGATGCCGCAGATGAGTTGGCAAGGAGGGGCTCGGCAACCCCAACCTCTGGCCCAACGCCACTCCTGCCCATATCGTTTAACCAAATACGATGCTGGGTCAGGCAACGGACCTGTGAAGCACACAACCGGAGGTGGAAAAACTCACCCGACTGCAGACAGTCCAAACTGGTGCTGAATCAAGTCACACCACGACTCACCTGCAGACTGATCAGTCTTAGCAGACCGGAACTCAGAATGGTTGTCGGAACTATTACAGGACATCTAGCCCTGAACCGACAACTATTCATAATCAATGCGACGGACAGTCCCCTGTGCAGGGGATGTCTGGAAGCTGAAGAAACGGCCGCCCACGTAGTCCTGGAATGCGAGGGAGTGGCCACACAACGGGCAAGTATCATTCCTGATATAAAGTCGCTCCTAGAAGCCTGTGAACGCCCCAGGAGGCTTCTGCGCTTCTGGAAGGAGCTTGGTTGGCTCACCTAGTCAACCAATCCTCGACGCATAAAGGACCACTCTGAGTCTAAATGCGGAAACCGAAGCCCACAACCAATACCAATACCAATACCAATACTCGTACATCAATTTTGAATTTAAGCTAGGGATGCAGTGATAATAATGTGAGACTAAATTATCCCTAAACGAGCCGATTAGGTTTTTTAATTGATTTACTATTAATGAGGCAAGTACTTGCACGAGTTTTACGTTTTATGATTGAATTGATTGTGACAGGTAAATACGTTCCCAAAGAATAATTAATCGTTTCACAATGTCTTCTTCTTTAATAAAAAAGTAACTTTTTAATTTCGATATTACAAAAACCTTAATGTCGAATTTATTTATCGGTCTGTTCTAAAATACTCTGGTAAGTGAATTATCGTGGCTCTCTGTACGTCACATTCCACAAAATAATAAACAACAGGATTTTAGGTTACCCCAATGTAACCAAGAAGTGCATTCTTCATTGGGGGAAACCTAAATGTTTTATTAAAATACTTTACCGAATAATGCTATTATGATGAATAATACACTCCTTTAATATTGACCGTACGTGGTACTGTTTAGTGTATTCTTCGGTATCTTTTTCTTTGAAATTCTTGCGTCGACGCTCGGCAATCAGCTCAAAGTTGCGGAGGTTGAAAGCCAAAATTTCTATTTGTCCGACTAAAAATAAGCAAATTATTTTCATACTAATATCCACGCAAGTAATAATACAGAACAAGCAATCTAAATTTAATTATATAATATTGTATGTTACTTTATTTTTAACTTTAATATTTATGTAGAAGTGGTTGAAATTCAACCCTAACTCTCATATTTTGAACCTCTTTATTTCCAGTATAAGTTGAGCTATCATTGTATATAAAATTTTAGTATTCAAATTTTACACTTCCCTTTGCGAGATAATTTATTTAAAATGAGTACACACACACAGTAACAGAGAGTTACTGCAAACTCGTAGCAATAAACCTAATACGTTAAATAATAGGTTATACATAAAAGTCCTATGCTGTGGTCATAAAAGTAATAAAATATATGCTGCTAGGGATTTTTGCAAGGCATTTGTTCTTGCGGCAACGTTGTGCTGTTGCTTTGTGAAGCATATCTTCATTGAAGTGACGTTCCCCTTTTATATCCTTTTAAAATTCTTCATGGCATGGTTACGTATAACAATAATGTTATGAATTACAATAACCGTTAACTGTAACCGTTTGTGATAGTGACTAGGGAGTATGTTTGTGAGTGGGAGTTCTCTCGTTCGATAGCCTGATTGCGACTATTGTGCGGAGCGAGAGTGCGTGGAACTCTGCCGTCTCCTTCTGCGAGCAAGTTATGCTCGCGAAGGAGACGGCGGAGCGGGACCGGGAGAGGTTTAGGACTCTCCCGGCCCGCCAGGCAAGGGAACGGGCCAGGTACCGCAGGCGACTCAGGCGCCGGAGGTCGCAGAACGACCTCTGTCCTCCATAAGCGCAGGCCTGGGGGTGACAGGTGAGGCCATTAGAAACGCATGAATGGAGAAGTTTCTTTAACCGTTGGTCTATTGAATGTTATAGAGTATGTGTGTAAGGCGGTCCTAATTCTAAATATAATAAATGCAAATATGAGTTTGTTTTGCTGAATTTCAAGCCTTAACTACTCAACTGATCATCATCAACTCATCAACTTTTACGCAAATGAAAGTGCAATGGAGAGCCAGTAACTCTGCTTGGTAGTTGTGTAAGTATCTGTTTCAGAAAGGGTCTGTTTATTAAACAGAAGAATATAAAAGCAAAGTGATTATCTTACTTGCTGAAGCAACAAAGGCTGCCAATATTGTATCCATAGCACCATCTATTATACACGTTGCAGGCTTGTAATAAATCTGTGAAATGAATGTCTACTTGATTATTACCGGACCTTATTTGATTTACCTATAAAAATTCTAACTTTTTTATATAAGAAGCCTGCAAGGAAGACCTGGTTGAAACTAAGGATGAAATAAAATTACAATCACCTGTTATAAATCATATGATTTCTAAATCACATAATCGCACGCGTGACTACTTTTTATTGATTTTGATGGAATTTATCTATCTATATATAATAAATATATATATATATTTATTATATGTATATATATATATATATATATATATATATTTCTATGACCAAATCGCAATTACAGGTGAAAAAAACAAATCATTTCATCAAATGATTATGATTTAAAAGGAGCAAGAACTTCCATGTCTAGTTGAAACGTTAGGTAATACAAAGGTAATGGCGGCAATTCTCGCGTATCCCATTCTCTGTTTAGTTCCCGATTCTTTGAACTAGGAATAGGTATACTATATGTCATTCTGAATGTTTTCCACCACAATACAGTTTTCTGACACTCAATAAAATCTGGTTTCCGAGTGCCTCTATGTGTTGAATGCATGTCTGTAAACATTTCCATTATTAACATTATACCTACTATATTTAACTCGGCTCAGTTTCAGCTATTGCTGTTGAAAAATATTTACTTGTAATGGTTACAGCCACCTTTACAAGATGTAAATATTCAATTTGACTGTTCAAGATTGTCATCAAACTTAGACTCATCAATACTTTAAATATAATTTTATGCGCATAAATAATAAAAAACTTGACGTGAACATAATTGAATTATAAATATTTTATCTGATTCATGTTTTATTTTTGTCAAAAGATAATTCAGTAGTCTTTTCAAAACACTTTAAACAAATGACATTAAATTTCTGTAATCATCATCATCAACAGTCTCTATTAGTCAACTGTTGCACATAGACCTCTTCCTACAAAGGAGGTTATGGCCTGCTATACCACTCTGGCTAGATGGATTATTGTATGGTTTGGTGTCAGTTTTCCTTCTCTTTGCAGTGCTGTTGTCCTGCGTAGTTTTAAATTCCTGTGATATGTGTGAATACAAAAACTAATATTTTTTTATAAGGTTCAAGTTTATATCAAGTAATAATTTGCACATAATTTATCTTTGGATATTCACCAAAAGAGCTGTAGTCAACTTAGCGATATTACCTGAATACGTAAATTCAATTAAAATATGAATGATCGAGTTTTATGTAAGCAATTCAACTCACGTGATGGATGTATGCGGCCACGTATGTTGGTGTTTTGTATAGATCGATGTTTGGGTATTCCACGTTCGTAGGCAAAATGTCGAAATGTTCAGTTAAAGGCAATATTATTCCAACTGAAAAGAAAGTATTGACCTATAATTTTGTCATATTTGATGGACTTCTTTTAGAATTTATTTTTTTTGGTGCTAAAAAATATTATATCACCAGTGCACAAGATTCAGGATTGAATTCGATTGTATACTTTTATGTTAAATGAAAATACAAAATTAACATCCGTTTAATGCTTGTTTAATACAAAAGGGTACACACAACAAACAAAAAGCAAAAAAAAAAAAACAACAGGGTAAAACAACAGGGTTACTTAGAGTTGTTTAAAATATGTATGAAATATAACGAGAAAAGCTATCTGGAAATTGACGTAGGTAGAGATACAAACAATTATAGATTTTTTTTAAATAACCTCTTCTATATAACATATGTCAAAACTAAACTGTTTTTTTTTTGCCCTGTAAAAGAAACGTATCTGTTTGAATAAGTTTGGTTAAGCAAATGTGGAGATTGAAATTTACTATTATTTTAGTAAGAGTTTTGTGTACCTTTGGGAATTTTGCCGATATTTAAATTCAAATGTAAAACCAAGTTCTAGTGAACATTAATAAAATTAAATAAAGCATTATATTAAATAATTCAACTAAGCATAGCTTATAGCCGGTTAAAAAAACGTCATATATAAAAACTAATTTCTTTATCATTTTAGTTCTAGGATCAAATTTTTACACAGATAAATTAGAAGGGTCTGAAGACAAACTCATCCTCTACATGCACCACCTTGATGATGAAAACAAAATTGTAGAAAGTGTAGTAGGTACTTGTCCATTAAATTAAATAGATTTTCATTACAAAGTTTACAAGCTTTACTTTGAATAACACCAAAACTAACACTATATTTTAAGATTAATAAAAGTTTCTTTTTAAATGTATTGAACATGTAAAAGTAAAGAGCACCGTTATCATCAAAACACTTGTAAACAGTTTGGCGATCATTACTATTATTGTAAGCAATGGAGAGCTTAAATAATCCCAGTTATTTAAATTAAACTTTTTATAGCCTATAAGTATCTGCTACTTAGAATTATGTAAAAATCATTTTTTTTTGTAAAATATTATTCGTACATAATACACTATCCAAATAAAACTATGTTGTTTTCAGAAAAAACAGATCAGATACGTTTTACCATTTATATCAGAGTTAATAGGTCAATAAAAATATATGTAGCCTGTTAAGAGCTCACCCGACACCGCTCCGACGCACATGGTGGAATAGTAAGTCATGACAAAACGGGCGGTATTAATACTCTTCCGTATAATATCGCGATGTTCCGCTTCTCTCGGTTTGAATTCTTCGCGGTGCAAATGTTTCAATAGCTCCGCCACTTTGTTTTTGTTAAACCAAAATACTGCCACTTTGAAGTACGTGTACATTTCACTCAAGAATAAATATAACCTAAAAGAATATTATTTACATAATCGACTAAACTATACACGAGTGCCATTTAATAAATCCCATTTGTGGAAACATGTAAAATAAACAAAATGTAAGTAAACGTGGAAATATGTAGTTACCCTTCGGCAACATCTCCAATATTTTGTCTTCGCCTAAGTAAATAAACAACTTCGCCGGATCCTGGCAAAAAACACACAAGCCATAACACGACCAATGTGTATATCATTTGAAGCCAATATTTGATGCGGTATGGCGAAAAATTGTTGAACCACATGCCGTAAAACTTTAGCCAATAGATGTGCACGGCGTGGTACAGACGAGGGTTAAGATCATCCCACGGTTCAATAACCCCGTAAGGCAAGATTGGCTGTAGAAATGCCAACTTTTTTTTCATTTTATCAGTAAAAATAATCATTTTTCTTTTTATGTTAAAATACAATGAAGTATTTGACGAGCAATATAAGAGTGCTTCTTGTATCTCATCACATTATACTTCTTTGTACAAAACCAGAATGAAGAGGGACGTTAAGTGGGTATTATACATTATGTTGCGATACTGTTAAGTGGAAGTGCTTCTTTCCAAATTATATTTTATAATATTGTAAACCGTATAGCAAGAAATTAAACCTTGATATGCTTGACTCTTGCCTATTTTCTTGTATTATTTACTTTTAGTTGTCTGCTAAGAATAATATTTTCATTTATATCTATATATTTATACGTCAAGAACATTCTTGGTATAGGTTTTGAAACAAATATGGTACATGAAAGCATTTATATTTGGAAAACTTAATGTTTACATGGAGAAACAGTGCAAACAGCTACAATTTATAAACAATATGTGCTATAAAGTTAAAAAATATATAACAACGGCTAAAAAAACTATTGGGGTTCGGTCTATATTTTGTCAAACACAACATAAGTCTATACAATTATAGTCCGTTGAATTACCAATGTTCCACAAACCAAAACTCATTTCACTTTAGTTTCTAATAAAATTAAAAAAAACACAAGTATTATGTTAACTTGAATTGGAACGAAGTTTTGTGACATAAGTGTAGGTAAATGAAATTATTTATTTCGTTACAAAAATGAAAAAGAAAATCAAAACATTTTTTGTTAAGAAAACATGGAGTATTATATAGTAGAATGTTCATATTATACCGTCTTTTCCTGTCATTACGATTTGCGCCGCTGCCAACTATGTTTCTACTTTATTAGATACTGAGCTCTTTTATTTTATCGCTAACATTTTGTCTGCGTGAGCTTATAAGGAAGGTAACAAATGGCGCGAAGGAAATAACAACATATACGTACGTAATATTTAAATGTTGCTTTACGAATAACTGCAACAAATAACTAGAAATTAATGCTTTTGTTGTTACCATGATATGCACGACCCTTAAAAAGAGTTAATTTAATATGTCTACAAAGGCAATTATAATAATTACAACAGCAATGTAATTACCGCTATAAGAAAAGGTACCGCTGTCTTAACTACGTATAATTGTGTTTTCAAAGAGGCTTTCAGATATTCAGAATTTTCTAGTAAAGCACAAAGAAGATTTCTAGTAATTTAATAAGTCTTAAAATAAGGATTTCTGAAGTTAATAGTTCGAAATTGCTTTTTAAAGGAACTGCTTTGAGAATTCATGCAATTGCAAGAATATGCAGCGTTAGTTTTTTTATTTACCAAGTTTTAGTAGAGCCCTCGTGTCTTTAAAGATAAGGTTAAAGCAGTAACAACTATTTTACATATAACATATTATATGAAGTTAGAGCAAGTATATGTGATCTTAGTGTCTAGAAAGATGATTCTCTAAGAGTATAGAATGTTTAAATTTGGGGAATCCTACGTATGCATATGACCGATTAACAAAAGTTCGTTTGTGGAGGGATGGGGCAAAATTTTTTTTTGCAGATATAAAATTCTGTTAGGAAGATAAATATGAAAATTCGGTAGGATTTTTATATTCAATTTACATGAATAGTTTACATTTAAACAAATATGAAAAGAGAACGCCATAAGCTACTTTTAATAAAATTTGTGAAAGGAAATTGCCGATTTGTACTGAAAAATTGAAACGTTTCGTTAGAAAATTGTCGAAATCAAAAAAAAAATGGTAGTCCGTTAGAGCAAGGTCTGGCGAGTACGGAAGATGACGAATGGGTTCTAACTGCAGCTCTCGCAGAGTTACAACGGTTTCTCGTGTAGTGAGAGGTCTTGCCGTTATCATGGAGTTATCAATATTGATGAAGATCGATTCACGAGACTGGGCTGTTTCACCGCTAGTTTTGGAATCATTGTTCGAAGTTCGGCACAGTTAACATCTGCTGTTATTGCTTGACTAGACCTGAAAACGCTATAATGAATAACACCATGAAGAGATCACCAAAAAGTTATCATTACCTTTTTATTGGTAAGCTTTGCGTTAGGGCACTGTTTCGGCGTTTGACCTGGGGTCAGCCATTGATTTATCGCTTACAGTTATCATATACAATCCACTTTTCGTCACATGTCACAATTCGATCCAATATTCCTCCATTTCTGTACCGGCTTCAATAAGGCAACACAAGTTTCAACAAGCATTTCTTTCTGCAGATCAGTCAAATCATGAGGCACCCATTTTTCATGGCAAATCAGTCAATATTGTAGGTAGGGTAACGTTAAACCATGCCGCCAATTCTAGGGTAGTTTGACTCCGATCGGCTTCCACCATCTTCTTCAATTCAGCGTTATTCACCTGTGTGGTCAGTCTTCCTTCCACGTGGTTCGTTCTTCAAGTCGCAATTTCGCAACAAAAAACGCACGGTGCGGCCATTAGCAGTCTCCTCTCCAAACGCAGCGTTGATATTGCGAGCCGTTTCTGCCGCGTTAGTTCCGCGTCGGAACTCGTATTGATATCCATCTTTGACGTCTAAGCTGAATATAAAGAAAATTGAAAGTCGAAAATAGATTGTTGCACATTTTTTAAAAGAATAATAAAATCAAGTAGATTTTTAATTTATTAATATTTTATGATTGTTAAAGATTACAAATTATTTAACAGAAATGTATAATATATATATATACTAGCTGACCCGGCAAATGTTGTTTTCCCAAAAAAAAAAATTAGGGATGGGTCACCCTTACCATTTAGGGGTATGAAAAATAGATGTTGGCCGATTCTCAGACCTACCCGATGTGCACACAAAATTTCATGAGAATCGGTCAAGCCGTTTCGGGGGAGTACGGGAACGAACATTGTGACACGAGAATTTTATATATAAGATAAGAAAAGAAACATCAACGTTTATAAAAAAATAGTGTAGCAAACCAATATCCAAACCAATATGAAATTGCTGCTAGTGCTAGTATATACATATATACATAACTGAAAATATATGTATTAATATTCCTATGTTCAGTCGAGGTCCGTATAAACTTGGTCTAAGATAAATTAGTTGCAATTCGAAGATTTTGAGGACCTTTGTCAGTTCAGAATATAGAACTCTCACAATTCATGCATCGGTATTATTTTAATTACTTCATAATATTATGATTGTTGAACTTCACGTACCTAGAAGTTTTCTGGGATTCTTTTCCTTCGATTGTTCTCGATTGATTTCGATTCCTGTAAAAATACTTAATACGAATGCGTTGTTTGGTTTGTGTAATGAACTGCTACGTCAAAAGTCGTAGGTTCGATGCTCGCTTAAGACAAACGTTTGTGTGCGTGAACATTTAATATTTGTAGTGGTCTGAGTGTTTTTGTGCATAATATGTATGTATTTATAAAAAGAAAGTGTAAATGGATTTTTAAAACTGGTCTGGTACTGCTCTCTCGCTCTGCTTTGTTTGAGACTAGATGACTTTGTGTGAATGTGGTATAGATAGTTCAAATCAGTTGTGCGCGCGGCCCTATGTGTGTGTGTGGGCTTGTAAATATACAACTTTCATTCGTGTGGCAGTGACGCGGCAGTCGTCGTCCGAGCAAGACGTGTTCTTATCGCTTTTACTTAAGGGTACAGTCGTTTACGAAAATGTCTAGTTCTTCACGGAGAAAATGTTTAAGGAGTCAGGTAAATATTTTTTAAATTTAGATGTAATTAATATTTATTATGATTCTATATACGAAAAAATATATCCTTGTTGACGTTTACGTATTATTGTTTTAGACTCGAGAAACCATTGCTAAGGTATACGAATTTCTGAAAATAGATGCGAGAGATATATTGGAACTAGTAAGTGATCCAGTTTGCAGTGCAAGTCCAATTTTAATATCGAAATTAAGTGAACATTTAAATAGCGTACGGAAAAGAACAGCAATGGCAGTGGGAGTATTAGAGAGAACAATTACTAGTATATTGGCTGAAGGAAAAGAATCTGACTCTAAATTTAAATCTCCGCATAAAGACCGTAAAAAACGTTTAAAAAAGTTAGAATTAGACAACTTTAACGTTGATGTTATACGTTCCACTATTCAAAATTACCATTTAGAACATCGCGAGTTACCTACCTTGCTAAAGTTGAAAAGAATATTTCAAGATAAACTTAACTGTGATGGAAGTATTTCGACTCTGCGTACAGCTTTGCTAAAGTTGGGATACAAGTGGAGAAACAGACAAACAACTGTGGATAACAGACGTGTTATTATAGAGCGGCATGGCATCCAAAAACTACGATTTTCCTACCTAAAAAATGATGGATGGGGTAATAAAGATGGACCACCTTTAAAGAGAAACCTGTCGAAAGGACAAAGAATTATCATTGTGCATGCTGGTTCAGAACAAGGTTTCGTACCTAACGCACTATTGACATACAAAGCAAATAGTGTTTCTGGTGATTACCACTCTAACATGAACGCAGAAAACTATGAAAAGTGGCTAAAAGAACGTCTAGTACCGAATCTTCCACCTAACTCTGTGGTTGTGCTTGATAATGCCTCATACCATAACGTTCAAAATGACAGAGCCCCAAATTCTAATTCCAAAAAAATAGAAATGCAGAGATGGCTGACAGAAAAAAATATAGCTTTTAATCAAGATATGAAAAAAATTGAACTATATGATTTGATTAAAAAAAATAAAGAAAAATATATCTGTTACAAGATTGACGACATACTTCAGCCATATGGCATAAAAATTCTTCGACTGCCACCATATCATCCTGAACTAAACCCCATAGAAAATGTGTGGGGAATTTTAAAGAATTATATTGCTTCGCATAATGTCGACCAAAATGTGACGGAAATAATGAAACTCATAAATGAACGTTTAAGTCAAATTGATGAAGGGATGTGGGGTAATGCTTGTCGACATGTACAAAAGAAAGAAGAAGAATACTATAGACATTTTGACATGGAGTCAGAATTCATAATTAACCTTGGTGAGAGCAGCGAATCCGAAAATTCA